AGATTTATAACTTGGGAGCCCAGGTCTTTGGTGTGGGCCCTGCCACCATTCATTTTAAGACAATAATTTGGGCTGCCAGAGTGTAAACCTAGGCAGAGCTGAACTTGAGCCAGCAAAGAAAGAGAAGTCAGTCCCCACCTTAACTGCAAAACAGGGATGTCAGTCCTGGGAGTCAGAGCCTGGAGCAACTCACTGCAAGTCAAATTAGGGGAATAATGCAAGCCTAGTAGATATTTAATGAGAGATTATTTCTGGAGATTATAGGGATACAGAAATTGCAAATAAATCCCTGACCTTTTCTGAGCCTTGGCTCAGTGAAAGAGCCGAATCACCTGCTTGAGGGGATTAAGGACAGCCACTTCCATCTGGCAGGCCACTTTCTCTGTCATTTGCAGACTGGCTTAGAGGTGACAGTGTTCTAAATCTGTTAGTGGAAATTCACTTTTCAGAGTAGGAGATCTCAATTACCTTAGATTATGTACCCAGGGACAGAGATAGGACAAATGATCTGGTTATGTGTGCACTATAGTTTCTATCGTGTTAGGAGTACTGATTCCATGTTCATTGGTAAAGTACTTGTTAATCATTAGTAACCCAATCACGGTGTCAGCAGGAAAGTCAAGTTGATGAAAATAGAAGTTAAATCCCCCCTTCGTGTGAGTCATGCATGTGTGTGCATGTGTGTATGTGTGTGTATGTGTGTGTGTGTGTAAGAGACAAAGAAAGATGGAGAAATGCCAGGGTAATGGACAGTGGATAATGTAGTAACTTGTACTCGTTCCAGTTTACAGGTTTAGAACAATGACTGCTACATTATATTTCACGAATATATTTCCCTTTGTTAGGGAACTTTTGCATGAGGTGGATATTATTTCTTAACACAGTCTTACCTGCTTCCTAAAGTATAAACATCAACAATAACCAGCTCTAACACAGTCTAACAGTTTCCTTTAGTTGTTTATTTCATTTTAAAATGTGTAAATACTACATGCATTTGAACAAGTAATATTACTGATAAATACTGTCTTACATGTTTAAAACATAAGGCTTTGTGTGTTAGTCTGTGTAAAAGAGTTTACTAACTTGTAAGAAATTGAAAAAGACCTAAAATTTACACTTACTCAGTAACTAAGTATAGAGGTTTTGCTTTGACATTTTCCAGAAGTAATTGTAGTTAGTGTAGATTGGTGCAAGTTTAATTCTTTTCTGGATATACTGAAATGTTCAATTAGGTTATTTTGTACTATATATCACTTACCTAGAAAAAGATCCCACTTCTTTACTTCCTATGTAAAAAATAGGTCCAAGAACTGAATTGCATCTGCAAAACTGTCCAACTCTGCTTTTTGTTGTTCTGCTAGTTGGGCTGGTGGTTCATCTTCTGACCACGGGAGCCACTTCTGTACCTCTATTTGTTGCCAACTTCTTTCTAGTTTTCCAAAACTTTTATCAGTGCTTTTGAGTGAAGGAAATGGGTCTTTATCCAGGACAGAGTTCTCCAGTGCCTAAAACAAGACAGTGTTGACCAACCTCCTTCTAAAACATCCAAGTCTGAGATCAATCTCAGTAGCTCCCCAGAGCCTGTGCAAAATGTCACTTATTTTTCTCTTCTTTGTCTGTCATCCCTTTGAAAAGGTTCTCTGAAGCACCTCTCAAAAGCAAAACTAAAAAACTTCAACCAGCTTATGATTCGTTGTTACAAATGTTTTGGAAACTTCCTTAAACATAAAAAGCAATTCTTTGTCTCACAAATGCTTTCCAGCAGGTTCTGTTTTCACTAGTGGATAAAGGAATAAAAAATCCTCTCCTGTGCATGAAAAGATACCCAACACCGTTAGTCACTGCACCATTAGATGCAAATTAAAACCACAATGGAATTCCTCTTAACATCTATAAAGATGGCTGTAACACAAAAAACAAAACAAAAAAACAGAACGAACGTTGACAAGGACATGGAGCAATTGGAACCTTCATGCATAGCTGGTGGGAGTATGAAGCAGTACCACAACTTCGGAAAACAATTTGGTAGTTCTTTCAGAAGTTAAACATAGAGTTATCCCATGACCCAGGAGTCCACTTATGGGTAAATACATAAGAGGAATCAATATATTTGTACAAAGACTTGTGCACTGTTATTTCTAGTATTAGTCTAATAGCCATAAGACAGAAACTCTCCAAATGCCTATTACCTAATAGATCAATGAAATGTGGTATATACATACAATGGAATATTATTAAGTCTTTCTTTTCGTTTTTAGTTTTTAGTAGTACACGTTTACTTTACATGAAGATTACAATCCTCATGGAGAGTTTCACATATCAATAACACATCTCAGTAACTTGTAACTCAGTAACACATCACATCTCTTTCTTCTCCTCTCCCTCCCCCCTCTCTCCATCCTTGGTCCCCTTCCCATTTGCAAAAGATCTGTTTTCCTACTTCCTTTATCTTTTTCTTTGGTCTTTATTTAAATTTTGAGTTTCTTATGTAAGAGCAAATAGGGGATATTTAAGCTAGGAGTATTATTTATTTCGCTTAACATTATGGTCTTAAGGTGCATCCATTTTCCTACTAATGCCTCCAGTTCATTCTTTATGGGAGAGTGGTACCCCATTGTGTACAAATACTACCTTTTCTTTATCCACTCATCTGTCAAAAGGGAATGAAGTAGTGTTGCTATTCAAGGTCAAGAAAAGACCTTAAAAACGTAGTAAGTGAGGGAAGTACATATTAAAGAGCATACATTCTATGATTTCATATATGTGAAGTATGTGGAATGAGCAAGTTCACAAAGAAGGAAAGGACATTCGTGGTTGCCAGCAGTGCGGGAAGGAAAAATGGGAAATGATTGTTAGTGTATGTGGTTTTGTGTTGCTTTGTTTGGATGGGGAACAAAATGTTCAGGAATTTATGAATAGCATAGCTTTATAAATGTAGGAGAAATGCCTGGACACTTCATGGTATGTGAATTATATCAATGAAACTGTTAATTTGAAACAAAAAATTCTTCCTTGCCTTCCAACAGGAATTTGGCACCTATGTTAAAACTTGTTACTGCTTTTGAAAAATATTTACTGCAGGGGTTAATTGAGTTTCATCTGGAAAAATTATCTCAGTCTGGCTTAATATTTCCTTTGAGAAAACTTGGTATACTGTATCACTATTTACAGAGTAAACACTGGTTCATGCTGAAAGAAACTAGGATTGAGTTAGTAGGCTCCTTACTGTGTTAGAGGAATTAAAAAGTTTGTATAGCAGGTAATTTCCAGGGAAAAAGAACATCAATTTCCTGTTTCTTTTTTGGTACTTATTATCCTAGAGGCTGAGTGTGTTTATAATGAGTATGACTGAGCACTAAGTATGCACAGAAGTACAGGAACTATTTCACTTTGGAAACAAAAGTTTGGGCCCATTAGCATTTCATTTTAGTTTGATTTTAAATATTCTTAGTCATTTAAAATTTTTAAAAAATCTTTGTTAGATCTGAGTTCACCCTTGTATACTAAAGGCTAGAGAACGATTTCATTTGGATAAATTCCAAGACGAGTTTAGATTCTGCTGAGTTCTCATGTGTAAGTGTGTTGCTTAGCCTGGATGATCACAAATCAGTTGTAAATTCTTAAGTTCCTACTCTATTCCGTTCCTTTTCATTCTGAGCAGTAAGCTGCAGAGCATCACCGCATAACACCCTGAGATCAAAGAAGAACCCATTCTTAAAGACTGCCACCTGCACTTTTTCTCTGGGGTTGAGTTTTGGTAGATTTGCAGCCTCTGTATTACTTTAAAACTGGTTCTCACTATGGAAAAAGTTGGTGATGTGGATCATTTACTTCCTGAGTGACTTTAGAGGGTTTGAAGCAGATGGAGAAGTTGGTCACTACCTGCTGATTTACCATGTGGAGGAGTGGCTTTGTGCCTTAGTGCTTTTTCCTCAAGTTGTTCTTGGCTTTAACTCTCTCTCTTTCTCTCTTTCTCTCTCTCTCTCCCCCACTCTCTGTCTCCCCCACTCTCACTCTCTCCCTCTCTCTCTCTCTCCCCCATCTCTCCCTCTCTCTTTCTCCCTCTTTCTCTCTCTCCCCCTTCTCTCTCTCTCCCTCTCTTTCTCCCTTTCTCTCTCTCCCCCTTCTCTCTCTCTCTCTCTCTCTCTCTCTCTCTGTCTCTCCCCCACTCTCTCTCTCCCCCACTCTCACTCTCTCCCTCTCTTTCTCTCTCTCCCCCTTCTCTCTCTGTCTCTCTCTCTCTCTCTGTCTCTCTCTCTCTCTCTGTCTCTCTCTCTCTCTCTCTCTCTCTCCCCTCTCCCTCCTGTTTTTGTTTTTGTTTTTGTTTTTTTAACCAGAGATCGAACTAGCACCCTCATACTTGCCAGGCAGGCCCTTATGCTGCTGAGCTAAATCCCTGGCCCCAAGTCTGTACATTTTAACCCTGAAAATTTGACCAACATATTAACTTTACCAAACCCCAGTTTTTTTCCTCTATATTACAGTGACGGCAAACTTTTTAGTGCTTTAACTTGACACAAACAGCCGGCTTCAGCACATGTGCCATAGGTTTGCCACTATAATATAGGGCTAGTGATGGTGTGTATTTTTATTTGAAGCATATACTCAGCATTTATAGATCACTTAAGTTTTGCATTTTGCAGCAGGCCACAATCAGTCCTGCCACTGTAGCTTAAAAGGCACCTATAGCTTTGTGATCAAGTTTCTTCGGTTATAAACTGCGGATAGTTGCAGGTTCCTATAACTTGGGGTTATTATGAGAACTAAATAGGATAATGCACATAAAACATGCAGTGCATACCTGGACATGTGGTATGTTATCAATCATTGCCAGCTATTTTGTAATAATTACTTGTTTACATTTTTGTTTTTATCGTTACCCTGGGAAGAACTAAAGACGTGACCGTATCATGTGATTGTCTCGCTATGGCTTGGTCAAGCGTTTCTCTGAGGTTGATTTACAAGACTGCAGTTTGACTGCCCTCTTGTTTCTCTTTCAGCTGCGCAGTTGGACAGCATTGGCTTCAGCATTATCAAGAAGTGCATCCATGCTGTGGAGACCAGAGGTAATGTGCTCTCCCAGGTGGCGTCGTGCTCGTGGCGGTCATGCCTCTGGGGAGGCGTCAGGCCCAGGACCTGCTGTTTCCCAACTTTCAGAGCCTCATTAACTCCCCTAGTGCCATTATCAGTTTATTCCATAGGCCACCTTGGTCCGAAGTAGGGATTCTTGAGATCTTTTGTGTCATTAATTTCCTTGGCTGATCAAAGAATATTTTGAATTTATACATATAAAATACGCAGGCTTATAGAAATTAGTCACTGAAATTCAACTATTAAAATACTTAAAAACATAGTTGTGACATAACAGTGTGCCAGTTTCTTTGTTACCAAGTTCTTTCATAAGACAGTGGTGGATCTAATAACTGGAAGCACTGATATTTCAAGCTGTCTGAAACAATTGTAGTATGTTTTGAAAATATCTGTGATTTCTGACCCTGTGGTGGGTACTGCTAATGCTACTGTGATTTGTTGCTAATGAAAGAAAATGTATCGTGTCAGTTGTAGGTTAGTGACAGTAAAGATGTAATTATTTTCCTATTTAATTCATAGGCCCCTGAATCTTCTGTTGTGAGTCATTTCTTAGCCAGTTACCCTAGATTGAGGAACCCTGTGCTAGGAGCTGGCCTGTAGGGGACCATTCACACAGAGGAATCAGGCCCCTGTAGCACACTGACCTTTCCACAGCCCACTGGCGCAGGATCCTGAGATTCGGAGGCCGCCTCACCCCTGAGGTCTGTCCTTAGGCACTGCCACCAAGGAGAGAGCGACAGAGTGGAGCTTAGCATGCACTGGTCTCGTATGTGCTGAGAAAAGCAGCTGACCATCTTTCTACTGGATCTGAATTGTATTCTTATCAGAGATATAAATGTTACTTATTATATAGTCTCTACATCTACCAGTCCTTTTAATTTGTTTGAAAGAAATTCTTTCTTTTAAACTCCATAACTTGTACCAGTAGAGAAATACAAAACTTTTTTTGAAAATAAAGGCTGTGAAGCTTGGCAAAGGAAGAAGAAAGATCTTTTTGAGCCTCTGCACCCATATATCACACCAGAAGATTTTCTTTTCAAAGTAATTTTTTTTTAATATGTGGAAGCATTTTTTGAAAAATGTTTGCTTATTTCTGTTGCATCTTCCTTCAGTAGAGTCAAAATAGCTTGGAAAAATACATAAAATAATACCTAGAGATCATACAGTAGAAGTAGGTAGGAATTGATCTTGAAGAAGTAAGTATGTAGGCTGGATTGAGCCAGAAGGATGTCTACACAACGGTGTGAGTGAAATGCAAAATGAAAAACTGACCATATGTCTCAAAACTTGGTTAAATCAACAGTGGTTCATCTATACCGTAAAAAAAAAAAACAACTATGAATCACTAAAGTCACAGTGGAAATTATCTTTTGACATTCAACATTTTCTTAATTATATACATTAAATGAGAAAATGTACTTACAAAAAGCTGCCTACTGTGATCTCATTGTAGGAGTGGCTGGGAGTGCAGTTGTGCAGCTTATTCCTGTATTATAGGTGATTCTCTCTGTCGGTTTTTACTATCTTTGATTTTTCTGTTTGTTTTAACTATGGTTTCTAAGCTTTTTTTAAGTTTGTATTGCTAAGGTAGCTTTCACCACGGGGTAAAAATGTTTTCATTTTAAAAGAAGACTGTGAGAAAGGAGCACACAGTTAATGAAGAGGGAAGACTATGAACGGAGGCAAACATGAATCCCATGCCCAGTGAAGTTCATTGATTTATCTGCAATGGACCACCTGTTTGTCTCTCAGTCTTTAGTAGCCAAACCAAGACCAGCATGTAAAACTGTTGACAGAACTTGTGATAAATGCAAACCTTTGTAGCTCAGGGCAATGTTTTCTGATACAAACTAGAAAATACGTGCAATACATAGTAGCAAAAGAGCATCACGCATGAATTCTTTCATAGCCTCTGCCCTTTGTCCCTTCCTCTCTCTAAAATAAGGGTGAAAATTATATATATTAGAACTTCTAAAAGAGTTTTCATTTAGCACAAAGAAGAAATAAGGATAGTATAAGTTAGTAAGGAGAGTATGAGATAGTATCATGTTAGTACAAATAGTTGAAGGCAGTGGTTATTTTTCTATTACAGTGTATTTATGGACACACATATCTGTAATAACTAGCAATGAGCAGACATCCCACACTCTCTAGGATTCATCAGTGATTGTCCAGCAGTGGGAGCTAGGATTGTGTAAAGTCCTCGGAAAGCGTAACCATAAAAGTAGTAACCGTAGACCTTCCAGTCCTTAAGGCCGATGACACGTTTTCCATTGTAAAGTCCTACCCTTCCAGACCACCTCTTTTTACCCACTAGTTCCTCTTCTGTATAAGTCTTGTTAAAAATAGCGGGCAATTAAGCCTTTCTTAAATTTCTTCAAAAATTCAGAAAAAGAGGCAATTTCAGACATCATCAATTATAATAAAGGAAACAGAGTAAGGAAATGCCTGGGAATGCTGGCTGTGGGGGCATTCCAGCCCGAAGAGGCGAAAACTGCATGCCAGAGAGAGTTTGGAAAAGAGTGAACCAGGTAGTAGAAGTAGCTAGAGCAGCGATAGCAAAACTTTTAGAGTTTTTAGTGATTAAAAAAGAAAAACCTGCTAGGGCATGTGTTCCGTATGTCTGCCACCACTGGGCTGGAGCACAGGCTGTGAGGTGGGGTTGGCCTGAGTGGAGTGAGTGGGTGGTGATGTCAGAGCGGTGTGGAGCTCGTGGGATCAGCCTTGTAGGCCTTCATGCGAGGTTCACTCACGTTCTGTGTGCAATGGAAATCTCTTGGGAGATTTTAAGAGAGGAAATGATATGAATTAATTTACACTTCGAGATGTTCACTGCAGAGAATGGGCGCCAGGGGAAGAAGATGTGAAGCAGCAGACCAGTACTTCAGAGGTGCTGGATACCTCGGGGCTGGGGCTAACAGGAGAGAAATCATTTCAGATTGTTGGTCTCAATTGTCCCTTTTGTAAATGGTACAGTGACGCTTTAATCTGTGCATTTAAATGACTAAAAGTGTAACTGTGGGTTAGTTTTTATTTCTTTGTTCAGATGTTTAAAAGTTAACTCTTTCTGGTCTAATCGCATAGGTCCTTGAATTCAATAAAGGTAGTCTCGTTTATTGAAGTATATTTACATTACAGATGAATATACTTTCTAATTTTTTGGCTAACATTCCTCAAAATTATAAATATCATTATTTTCATTTTATATGTAAAATAGATTATAAAAATATTTGTCTTTTCATTAGATGAATTTTTATCATGTCATCTTTAGCTTTTTAAAATTAAAAATTGGTTCAATATGACATCTTTAAAAGAATATACTTTTCATCTTTTAAAAGTCTTCAGATGGCATATTTGGCAAGAGAAGAGGGAAGTTTCTTCCCCCTGCGACGGCTGAGGGCCGAAGTGTGCAGCACATCCGTGAAATCCTAGACAGCTGTACCAAATCCCACTCCTTTGCTAAGAGCTGAGCTGAGTGACAGGGGACTTTAATTAGAGCAGCTTTTAGGAGGACTGAGAAAATGAAAAGAAAAAAATAAAAAGAGCATGTGGCTGTGTCTGGCTGACTTGTGTTCTGACATGCCTCTAATTAAATATCCTTGTTTCTCTTTTCAGGGATCAATGAACAAGGACTCTACCGAATTGTAGGGGTCAACTCCAGAGTGCAAAAGTTGCTGAGTGTTCTGATGGGTGAGTGTGGCGGCAATTCTGCCAGCCTGGTGTCTGGGGGAGCCCACTCTGAAAAGTTACCAGGTGCCCGTGTAGGCTTGGTATCTGGAAGGAATCAGAGGGTCCAAGAGCTAAGGCCCTGAATTCTGCTGCCCTGCTAGCCAGTCGCCGGACCACAGACTTTGCTGAGAAAGGTTCTGAGCAAGACTGCACAAGAGAAAAAGCAGCAGCCCTCAGGCACCACATCCTCTGTGTCCTTAGCCACAGGCCGGCCAAGTGGCACTTGGTCACTCATGGAACCACCAACACCAATCTGTGTTTAATAGGTCGTGAGGGGGCAGGTATTTGGTAACACACACCCAGTCCCAAAGCAGGGCATCATTCTGTCCTGTAGAGAATTTCAGAGAGCGTGTTGCTATTACTGAACTCCCAGATAAGATGGATTTATGCAGACAAACCTTCCAATTCTCTTTGCTTCTGGATTATCAACCTAGACCTAGTCACTTGAGCAGGAGAACTGCCTCTGCCAGTGGCTGATACAAATTTAAAACCGCTATCTCCGAATGTGTAGTATTTGAATAGAAAAACCCATGAGTGCGTGAGCAAATTTGCTTAGGCTGCAGATTTCCTGTATTTTTAGATATGCACACAGCCTGCCTCAGTGAGTCACATGGATCTAAATGGCAAGCAGATCAGATTTCACAGATCGGTGGCTGTTATTCATTTCCATGTAGCCCTGGCCACGCACTTGTAAAGTTGGAGTATCCACTCAGGGTTCTAGCTTTGTGTCCTGGGCAAGGATGGCTCGTTTGTCAGTTATTTATAAGGATTTTTGCCATCCCAGTTTCTGGAAATGGCTTTCATATGTGAAAAAGCCTCTTCTCTCATGTGGGCAAATGACTGTTGTCTTCATTTGTTTCAAGAGGGCTGCTCACCCTTTGTGGGCAAAACCCTATGATACCACTAGATACAGGGAAATCTGTTTAAACCTGTGACCGTGGGTGGTTTAGCACTGAGTGTCTGTTTTTAAGTTCAGACTTGGAATATGCTATAGCTTTTTAAATTAAACTTTATATTTTGAGATAATTGAAGATCATATACAATTGTAAGAAATGATGAAGAGTGGTCCTTTGGGGCTAGGGATTTATTAGCTCAGTGGCATAAGCGCCTGCCTGGCAAGCATGAGATCGTGAATTCAATCCCCGGTACCAGCACCTTTGTCCCCCATTTCCCAGTTCCCTCCAGTGATAGCATCTTGAATAACCATTTCAGTATGAAAGCTAGGATACTGACATAGGCGCATCAAGATGCAGCACATTTCCATCGTCATAAGGATCCCTTGCAAGGTCCTTTTATCGCTACACTCACCAGCTTCCCTCCGACTTTGCACCCCGTCCCTAAGCCTGACAACCACTAATCTGATGCTTCTCTAATGTTGTCGTTTCAAGATTGTTATATAAATGGAAGCATGTAAGTCTTTGGGATTGGCTTTCCGCATCAGTCAGCATAATTCTCTCAAGATGTCTTCAACCTATTTCACTTAACAATAATTTGTTTTACTGCTAAGTAAAAAACTTACTTAGCAAAAAGTTTTCTTCTACTGTACGGAAGTACCAAAGTTTGTTTTTATTTCCTCACAGGTTTCTGTGTGAACATATGTGAAAATATAGTAGTCACCTTTTTATCATTGTGATAGAATACTTGGAAAAGTCGACTTGAAACACAAAAGATTTATTTTGATTGGCAGTTTCAGTCGGCGGGCTGGTTGCATTGCTGTGAGCTTGAGGTGAAGCAGAGCATAGCAGAAGGGCAGGGCAGAGCCGTCTGCCTCATGATGGCCAGGAAGCAGAAGAAAAGAGCCAGGTACCGGATACAGTCCCAGGGTCCTACTGCACGAGCCACTCCCTAATCACCTGTGCTGTGCTGCTGCGACCTGTCAGTGGATCTCTCTGTTGATGAGATTAGCATCCTCATGAGCGAATCATTTCTCCTCAGCACCCTCCCTAAACATTGCTGGATTCGGAACCAGGCCTTCAACACAGTGGGTTTTGGGAGATAGACCTTAACAACATACATTTGTTCTTGTAGGATAAATGCCCAACATACAATTCCTGGGTCATTTGATGACATGGCAAAGTTTTAGAAATTCTGGTGTCAAGAAGAATTAAAAAGTCTGGTAGGTCAGTGATGTAGCCTAATGATAGCGTGCTTGCCTGTTATATACAAGCCTCTGGGTTCATTCCCAGTACTGCAAAAAAGAAAAGGTGTACATGCAGTTGAAGTTGGGGATATAGCTTAATGCTAGCACACTTGGCTAGCACATTCCTAAGGCCCTGGGTTCCATTCTCACCACTAAAAACATCCAAAACGAAGACTAATAGGTTGTCAGCCCTCTTTTATTTCTGGCCAGAGTTTCAAACACTCATGGGGTATCTGCTCTGGAACAGGTTGTCAGGTGCTAGAGATTAAGCTTTACAAAGTGCTCGTGCTTTCTGCAGAGTTCTGCTAGGGTGAGATGTGCATGCATCTGAAAGCTGTGGTGTAAAAATATGTTAGCATGTAAGAAGAAATGGGTCTGGAAGATTGACTAAAAGAGAAAGTGAAAGAATAAATCAGATTCAGAGCGTATTATTAGCAGCTGGCATGGGGAAGAAATCAGAGTATGTAGTGGCTGTAGCAGAAGATATGAGTTCTTTGATGATTATTATTTTAATATTTGAAGAATTAGTTGACGCTGGGAAAGGAGAATTAAAGCTGAAAAATTTAAGGTGGGCTTTTGTTGAATAACTTGAATAGTGTTCTAAGAAGCTGGGTTTTGTTTTGTCTTGTTTTGTTTTCCTGAAGGAAGTAAGTAAGATGTTGGGGGTACGTGCAGGGTTAGTCCCTGGAACCCTGTGGACTGAGCGAGTTTATTGCTGGAATGGTGATGGAGGAGCCATTCTCCTGAAATAATAGCTACTGATGGAAAAGAAGGACATTTAACACAGGTGTGTCAGCATCAGAGTCCAGCTTCAGGAGGATAACCTAGCAGCAATGTGGAGCAGGTGTTATGTATTTGGCACACAAAGACATGGAGGAAGAAGACTTGTGGTGAATTAGGCAGAAAAACCTTATCAAGGGCTTAGCCAAATAGTCTAAGGTCAGGAAAAAGCACCGGTTCAAAATGACTATCGAGAAAGAATCAACAAGACTTTGTAACTAGCCAAATGTGAGGCAGCGGAAGGGGCAGAGAGATTTCAGAGATGATAGATGCTTATGTAAGGTGACGCTAGTGAAAAGAAATATGACATTTTAGACTACTTTGCTAATCTAAAAAAGAACCACCTCACTTCTGTTGTGCCGAGAAAAAGAGTGGTTTTGAAAGGAGCTTGTTTTTATCACTTTGCTTAGTAGCCCTCAAACAAGATATTTTTTCCTCCTCAGTTTTTCTAGGATAGAGAAAATAATCTGAAAAATGTCATGAAAAAGTAATGCCTAGTGGCAGAAAGTCACAAGGCCAGCTCCCTCTGCCAGGAGATATTATAAATAGATTAGAATTCAAAATGAGATCCAACCAGAGTGCAAGACAGACTGTGAGTTTGGGACTGGTAGCTGAGATTCTCCCTACTCCTTAAGTCTGAGCGTTTGAAGATCTGTCTACTGTATTAGGCCGGAGCCCCACACCCAGGGGCTCCTTTCTCTTTCATGAATATCCTTATACCTTCATCAGCTGGTCTTAGTGTTGGTCTGGGCCACCCAAAAGTGTAAACTAAATGTGGGTGCTGTATTCTAAAACCTTTCCTTGAGATGGCTGGGCTCAATGTGAGCCTCTCATTCACTCTTCCTTTATTACATATCCTTCAAATGCCCTGTTATTTGATAGGCATTCTTCAAGAGTTGGTTCATCTGGCTGAGGCTCTCAAAAGTGAAATGCACATTTCGATTATTGAAAGTGTGGGTTAGCGTTAAAACCAGAGGCTGACTTTGATCATGAGTTTATTTTTGTCCTCTTTATACACTGGGAGACATAAGTTCGAACAAAAGTATGAGTCTGCGCTTTGAGACTATCTTTGTTTTGCTTACTAAGGTTCCTTAAGAAAGCCTTCTAGAATTCTTCATAGCAAACGCGGTGTCATAGTGCACTTCAGTCCAGTGTGGGACCAAGAGCTATCCTCGGGCTCTTCTGAGCAACAGGGGCCATTAGTCTTTGGGCGGTGATAAGGACCAGGAAGACCAAAATAGAATCCCTTCTCTCTGTGTATTGTTTCTTGCCCCTTGAATATTAGGTGAAGATTAGTATTTCCAAATTTTAGCCCATTTTTTTTTTTTGTATATGTCTCTCAGGTCAATTAATTAACTGTAAACATGCCTGTTCAGAGGATGTCTGCGTTTCTTCCTTTCGCACTTCTTATTTTCTTCTTTTCTTTTCTTTACTTTACTTTTCTTTTTCTCTTTCTTTTTTTGTCTTTCTTTCTTTTTTGTCTTTCTTTCTTTCTTTCTTTCTTTCTTTTTTTCTCTCCATTCTTTTCTCTCTCTCCCTCACTCCCTCTCTTCCTCCCTCCCTCCCTCCATCCCTCCCCGTCGGTCTCTGTCTCTTTCTCTTTCTCTCTTTGAGACAGGGTTTTGCTGTGCAGCTCAGGCTGGCTTTCGCTCACTTCGTAGCCCAGGCTGGCCTTGAACTTGCAGTGATCCTCCTGCTTCAGCCTTCTGAGTGCTGGGATTACAGCCATGCATCACCACACCCAGTAATTTCATATATTTTAAATAATTATTTTTTCTGATTAAAAGTTTCAAGGTCATTGAAGAAAATGTACAGAAATATGAAAAGTAGAAAAAAGAAAATAAGAATTTCAAACTAGAGATAAACTTTTTATTTTTATCATAGTGAATCAGATCATTCTGCTGTATTTTTTAAATGTAATATTGTATAGTCTAAGATCGTAGCATGATAAATATCACACATTATTTACTGCACTCACAAAATTAGGCTCACACTGCATATAAGGGATATCAAAATATGTGGTATATGTTTAAATAAAAAT